TCGCAAATTGGATCTTCACTCTGGCCGGATCTTCTCTGGTATACTATATATCCCTTTATTTCGGCCAATTTTTACTATTTTCCCAGCGATCCGCGGTGCCTGGTAGAGGCTAGTTCTCCACAGCATCTTTCCTGTTCTTGTCCCTAGATCCCCCTGTGTTCTCCATACTGACTGATTGACAAATCCTCTGCCCCTACTTCTTTTGGGTAACATATCAGCCTCACGCTTCTTGTATCTGGCTATACATCAACCAACAAGAGAAAAACTAAAAGTCTAGTACTCATCCGAATCTTCAGGCGTTTTCATTTTTTTCAAAGCTGTAAAATGTTGCGTTTCTGCCGCTGTTATAAAATTGAATTGAATTGAACTAAATTTTGGGTGTCACCATGTATTCATGACATAATGAGGAGTGTCATGCTCCCCGAAGTTCATATGGCAACGAAACGTAGGCTTTCATAGCACTCCATTACTGGCATGCATTTCGTCACGTACACCCCAACCTGTAGATACTGTTATGTTTTGGGTGTGTTCAAAACACAGTCATAAAGTATTATTGACATAATGAGGGGTGTCATACTCCTTGAAAAGGTTACTGACCTCAATGCTCAAAACTACAGTATATTTTTCCCCAAACTGGTCAACAAAAGGAACGTTTTGGAAGCAGCAGCATTGTGTGTGTGTACTATACTTATGTAACTTCATTTAATCAGGAAAATGATGAAAGTTTATTGCAAATACTTGCCCGAGGGCTAATTGCAGTTAAAACAACATAAGAAAGAAAATACAGTGGTATGTGAGACTATATCTACGTCCAGCATTATACTATATTCTACAACATACATGGTACTAGTTTTACTGGGTTTGACTTCTTCTTTTTAGGCAATGGAAGACGAATTTACCCACTTCTTCTATAATATGTGGGTTCTTTGATTTTAGCGGTAAATTTTTTTTGTGGTAGGGAATGGTGGGGAAGTAAGGGAGCATTTTGGACACGGTGGTAAATAATTGTTTTCTGATGTCGTCATAAAATGGACAGTTAGAGAAGAAATGAATTTCGTCTTCCACTGCATTTGAGGAGCAACATTTACAAATTCTCTCAGACACTGGTAGTGTAAAACGAAAACCAATTTGGTAACTGAAAAGGTGACGGTAGACCATAATGTATTGTATGGGTGAAAGGAAGGCCACTTTACTATAATTATCCGTATGTAGGGACGTTGTGAGGGTGTAGTCGAGTGGCAGTAAACACAGCATATTATTTATTCATAGGCCATATCAGGAAAAATACTGTCAGCATCATACCATACGATATTCTGCACAAGTATTCACTAACAGTCCAATTGAACTTTGATGGTATTCTTAAATTTATAGTCGAAGCAGACTCGAATCATGAATCCATTTTTTCTATTTCTGGAGATGTACTTGAATAGTACCTGTAACTTGTACAATTACAGGTATAAACAGCGTTTTCAGTTTTATCACAATTCACTTTTTTTCACACTCATCACGACTAAGGGAAGTTCATGGAACATAAAGGGACGTATATATATACGCGGCAATCGGTGCAACAGCTGAAATATCATTAAAAGAGGCCTCTCACTGCTTGCATTCTCAGTATTACCAAGTACCTTGGACTAAGGGCATCTACCCATGTTGCTGATTTACCTATCACGAAGCTAAAAAAAAACTCCATACTCTTCTTGGCTTCCAGGGCAAAAGCTCAATTGGTAGAGCGCTCGCTTTGTAACCGGGAGATCGTGAGTTCAAACCCCGGCCGGGTCATACCAAATACTTTAAAAATGGTACACACTTCTTTCTCTGCTTAACACTCAGCACATATTAGAAAGAGTGTGGGAAGGTCAAACACACAGCACTACCAGCGAACCAGCCCCCTGCTGTAGTGCATTGCAGAACTGTGTGTCGCCCAAGGGCTACGGAAATGGACATGGGAACCACCCTACGCTCTGCAATAGAGTGGAACGGGACCTTCTTGGCTTGCTTTCTTCATTTTTGAGCGTTAAAATGTGTCCACTGATCCATTCCATTAATGCTCAAAGGTTTTCAAAATATCACCCACTATATGGATCCGAATCATTTATGGCTACTTGAGCATCCTTGACATATTAATAAAAAAACGATTGCAATTGTGCTGGTGAAAGTGGCGAAAGTTTCAGATCATTAGACAAATTTCCAATTACGATCGCGAGCATCGTTTTGAAACGTGTTCTCGCGAGAGCACAATCTGAGCGAGATTGCACGTGACCTGGCGGTAAAACGAGGCTGGGAATGGCTCAATATACCCAACTGATTTCGTCATGTTCAGAAATACATAACTCATTGGAAAAATAATATTTGTTATAATTATGCTACACAAGTGTCCAATATAAAATAATTTTTTGTTCACAATTTCAACATATATTTCTGTTCTTGCCATACTGTGACAGAATATGGTTTTCATATTAAATTCTATGCCGTCTGATAGAAATGTTTAAAAACAATGTATATTTGGCATTATTAAAATTAAAACTTTTGATTCAACAAAAAATTCTCTCACCTAGAGCTTTCGACCAGTCACTCTGGTCTTCCTCAGTAGACTGACCCAGTGAAGCTTGTCACGTGGCTTCTTTGAAGTGTGACGTCAACACTGGGTCAAAGGTATCTGGTAGACGATGTCGACCCCCGTCGCGGTTCAATGTAGGGTTTTTGTGTTGGATCAAAAATTTTAACTTTAAACATGTAACTACCAACACAGATGAACTTTCATGATAGTATTTTTGGCGTTTTTACCCAGCATCCTGTTCGATACCAAAGCACGTGGTCAACGACAGTGACCTGATATGGGACCTTCCCAAGGTCACGAACTCGCCCTTCATCTTCGAGGTCAAGGTCGACGACATGGCTGGGATCGTCACCGTTCGGACGGACACGGAGGATCACGCCGGTTACCGTGTGAAGATCACGGATGGCACGGCTGGCTCGTCAAGTATCGCGAGAACTTACAGTGACGGTACCCCCCGCAACAACCTCGGAGGCTTTTGGTCGCAGGGTACGTACATGTTTTTTTAACGGAGTAAGTTCAATGCAAGGCCTGTACGACCACTTCTCGGCATTGGACTAGAAATATGAGAGAAACATGGCTATTTCAAGAGATGGCGGTGAACGTTTGATTTGAAAGCCTGTAGATTGTACGTTGGTAGGAAACACTTGTCAGGGAGGGAATTCCAAAGCTTGGCCGTACGGGCAAAGAAACTGTCACTGTAAAAGGATTTGGAACAAGGAATTTGGACAGTGAAGTTGTGTGAGCTAGTGGAGAACCTAGTGGAACGCTGAAAAGTTCTGGGTGGAACTAGTTGGGTGAGTTCTGCAGAGCAATGACCATGAAAATATCTGTAAAAGAGGGATAGAGAGGCAACATTTCGTCTATGGGAAAGGGGGTCTAACTTGGAGGCCAGAGGATAGCCTATGTTTTGTTTGCTTTTCTTTGAGTGGGGCGGCCAGCGGCGATACAAATTCTTTCTTTCTTTATTCTTTATTTCAGGCGCAAATTGGCCCATAGTAGACAAACAATTAAAATAATAAGGTGCACACATAGTAAAAACGGAAGGGTTCGGTACATATACATACGAGAAGGGCCTTACCGGTAGACTAGGCCGATATAGTGATCCCAGTAGTGACTGGTGGATGATAAGTCTGAGTGGATTGCGAGTTTTATGATTCTGTTATTACTGTTGAGGAGCCGATTGGTGAAAGAGTGTGTTAGTTTACGTCTGCGAGCATCGAAGGTATCGACAACCTCAGTCACAAACATTCGACTGGCGCTCTCGAATTTTCCATATGAAAACAATATTCTAAAGGCGTTGTTATAAGCCGTTCGGAGTTTGCGAATAACACCCAGGGTGTAGCGTGTCCACAACTGGGCGCAATGCATATACAGGATACAGTGGATACAGGCGGCCAATATAAACTCCCCTTGCCCCAAAGAATCTGCTTGGAAATTACATGGATATGGCATACTGATACTCCCAAATCTTCTATTCATTTTCTGTGGCTTTTAACAATTGTGTTAGTATTTTATGGGAAGGTTTATAATTTTTTGACGGGGGACGATATCGACTTCGAACCAACGATAACCAAACAACGTTATCAAAGCACGCAGTTGGGTCGGCAAGCTGAGTAAGACCAAGTGATTCGGTTGAAAATTTCGTTAGATAAATTTTTTTGAGTTAGTGAAGAGTTTGAAGTTGCTCATAATGTTTTTTTAACGGTGTCGCTCAATGCAAGGCCAATTATTTTTGGTCACTTCTCGGCATAGAGCTAGAGGTACTTAAGTGAATATAATGTAGTTATGTCAGGAGATGGTGGTGGACCTTTGTTTTGAAGCTTTGTGGATTGTAATTATAATCGGACGGAAAGAAGCTGTTTGGAAGAGAGTTCCTTAATTTTGCAGTCCGGGGAAAGAAGCTGTTGTTGTAAAATGACTTTGAGACAGGTATGTTGACGGTGTATTGATGAGAACTGGAAGAGAACCTAGTGGCACGCTGAAAGGTTCTGAGTGGAGGAACAAGAAGTGCAAGTTCTCCTGAACATCGACCGTGAAAGTATCTGTAGAAAAGGGATAGGGATGCGACATTGCGTCTGTGTGAGAGGGAATCCAGCTTTGCGGCCAGAGAATGACCGATGGCAACACAGATTCTCCTTTGAATGCGGTCTAAAATATGTAGGCAATATGTATTTGACCAACTCAAATTAGCCTTAATGCTGATTAGTAAGTGTCTTAAGTAATTGCGATGCTGCACTTTACAGATATCACATCGACTGAAGAGTACCGAAGGTTCTGGATCTGCTGGTCGAAAGGTGGAAGTATTGGAGTGGGCAGGGCTGGGGAGGTGGAACCCTTCATGAGCGCTACAGACCCTCATCCCATCACTAACATCAGTCAAGTCGGCTATCGGATCGCCTATTCTGGCGGAGACTTCCTGTTCAACTGCACACAAGGTAAGCACTTCTACAGCATCATAACAATGCATAAAATGTGAGATTTATCAATGATCATCAATTTGGTTTTATCAAGCTTTTGATTTCTGCTTTTGGCATGTTTTTTTTTTAAACGGAGTGCTTCAATAAAAGGCCTATAAGATACGACCACTTCTCGGCATTGAACTAGAAATATGAGAGAAACATGGCTATGTCAAGAGATGGCGGTGAACGTTTGATTTGAAAGCCTGAAGATTGTAGGTTGGTGGGAAACACTTGTCAGGGAGGGAATTCCAAAGCTTGGCCGTACGGGGAAAGAAACTGTCACGCACTGTAAAAAGATTTCGAACAAGGAATTTGGACGATGAAGTTGTGTGAGCTAGTGGAGAACCTAGTGGAGCGCTTAAAAGTTCTGAGTGGTGGAACTAGTTGGGTGAGTTCTACAGAGCACATTGATCATAAATTGGGTTTATCAAGCTTTTGATATCTGCTTTTGGCATAAATGTCGCCAGTATAGCAGTGTGTTAACCACCTTTGGTAAATCCCACTTTTTGTGGGGTTAGCCCTGCATATTTAACTCCAGGCGTTGGTTTTACCTACTAATATTACGTGGTGCATGAAAAAAATGTTTAGTTTTGAATGAAACTGTCTCTATCATGATAATATCACTCATCTGAACTTTATTATATGTTTAATTCAGATGGTTTTCTAGGAGTGTGTGTTGACCCACCTCTCCAAGCCAACACTACCGGGCCCGTGTGTGACTGCCCCTATCTGCTGGGGGAGAACTGCACCTACCCATGTTCCCCAGGATATCACGTCACTTCCGGTGACGTCATAACCAGAACATGCACTGCAGATGGACTGTGGACGGACACGGATCTCTTCTGCCAAGGTAAAAGAATAAAGGGAGCATAAACATCAATTTATAAAGTGCAATTTCCATGTATTCAAAGAAAACCTGTAGAAATTTTGAGAGTGATAGCTCCATGGTTTTTGGCGACGTCTCAGGGAGGAGCCTAATGGTACAGTATTGTGTGCAGTTTGCAAGAATTCTAGGAATGCTACAGGTATTTTGTCCACAGGAATGGAATGTCCACAGGCATGTCTCTGACCCACATCTATGCCCACATTCCTGGAAACCCTTGGGAAGACCTCTCTGTCCCGGATGGCCCTACTTTCTGTTACCCGGGGGCTCGTTCATTATACACTCGGGAGGGGTGCACTGTATTAGTCTAGACTTAACAGGTACCAAGTCTTCCTAAAAATCATGAAATGATGGCAGTGCCATGTAAACAATAAACCTAACAGCAACCACCGTCGCCATGGCAATGTATGTTTTCATTGCCAGTCTTGTTCCATTTACCACGGAGGTAGCTCTTCTACCTCTATGCATGTACTAATCTCCAAGCAGATTTTTCAGGGCAAGCTTAAGAGGAGTCTGTATCCATTAATGGGATGGCCAGTGGTTACAGGAGGCCAATGGATACAGGCGGCCCATATAGAGTGCCACAGAATCTGCTTGATTACCATTTACCTTTCCTTTCATTTGCAGAAATTGACGAATGTTCCACTATGAATGGTGGTTGTAGCCACATCTGCACCAACACTGTAGGCAGTTACAACTGTTCCTGTACTGAAGGGTTCGCACTGGATGGAGATGGACACAATTGTAGTATTCGTAAGTACTAGTAGTTTGTCGTCTCTTGTTCTCATTCGCGAAATGACAACGTGGTTGAGTTACCTCTCACAAACAAAACGAAATAAAACTAGAAAAGTAACATTTGCAAAGCAAATGCATAATGTTTACCTTCGGACATGGTCTGCTCTGTTAATTCTTACTAAAACACATTCACATACATGTACTACTAGTAACTGTTATATGGTGACAGGAGCAGAGCAGACCATGAAATTGCAACATTATGTAACCCAACACCAGTCACCATGGTGACAGGCGTCAACAAACCATGTCATTGGTCAGGTCAGAGGTCACTGGAGAAGAAGAAGAGGAAGAAACTGAGCAAAAACCATATGTTTTCCTTCAGTAAACATAATAACTCTATTCTCTTCTTGGCTTGGTTTCCAACAATTTTGACCATTAAAATGTGTCCATTGATCCATTCCATACATGTTTTACACATACCGCCCACTTTATCCATATCATTTATGGCTGTTTGAGCATCCTTGAAAACGATTGCAATTGTGCTAGTGCAATTGGTGAAAGTTTCAGATCATTAGACAAATTTCCAATTACAATCGCGAGCATCGTTTTGAAACGTGTTCTCGCGAGAGCAAAGATGAGCGAGAGCGCGCGTGAGCTGGCGCTAAAACGAGGCTGGGAATGGCTCAATATACCCACGGATTGTCCCAAACAATTTTAATTGCCTTCCACTGATGAACTGTTGAGAAAAATATGAGTCTTTGTAATAATTATGCTACACAAGTATCCATCATAACAGAACTTTCAACTTTCTGTTGTTTCCTACTGTGAGAGAACGCATGGTTTATAAACCTATATTATATTATTATTTCGCCAAAAAGCAGTTACTCAAGCAACTGGATATGATTTTGGAAACGGTCAGACGTTTCAGCTAGTATCCACTAGCTTTCGTCTGTGACTGAGAGACCAGAGGAGAACTGCAGGTTTATAATATAAGTACGAACTACTGACGAACGCTAGTGGATACTACCTGAAACGTAAGCTTGAGTAACTGCTTTTTGGCGTATCGTATTAACTGGATGTCTAACTTTCATCGACGTATATTATTATGTCGTCTGATAGAAATGTTTAAAAACAGAATGTATTTTTGGTGTTGTTACCCATAACAGCATCCTGTACGTTACCAAAACACGTGGACAACGGCACTTTCCTGATATGGGACCTTCCCAAGGTCACTTCCTCGCCCTTCATCTTTGAGGTCAAGGTCGACAACATGGAGGGAATGGCCAACCTTCGACCGGACACGGGGGATAACGATGGCTATCGTGTGAGGATCGAAAACGGCTGGTCCGGTATCACGAGAGTGTACAGTGACGGTGCCCCACGCGTCGTCCTTGGAGGATATACCTCATTTGGTACGTGCATGTTTATGGCATATTGATAATCCCAATAAAAAAGTAGGTAAAAAATGTAAAGGTAGTCCCTTAGCCTTATTTGAGGCCGTAGGGGCATTGGGTTGTTAATCCACTGTGCCTAGGGCAAGGTATTGGAAGGTGGAGCCCATCCCTCTCCTTCCACCACCTTTTACCTCTCCAACCGAAGTCAAGTACCCATTGCACACCTGGGTGGAGTGAGGCAAGTCGTGTGAAGTGCCTTTCCCAATGGCAAAAGATCGCTGGCATCGGGCAGGATTTGAACCCGGGACCTCTTGGGTCTGAGCTGAACACTTTACCATTACGTCACACTCCCAATAATTTCCACGCAAATCTTTAGGTGGCCAAAAAAACAGTATCAAATTGGTCAGGAAGTACTAGACCATTTGGAGAGAGGGTGCTGTCTGGCTAACGGATACTTCCTGGCCAATTTGATACTGTCTTTGCGGCCACCAAAAGATCTGCTTGGAGATTAACTCCAAAATCTTCTATTCCTTTTCTGTGGCTTTGAAAAATTTTGTTAATACGTTTAAAGTTCAAACTTTTGGTCCAACACAAAAGGTTCTCTCACCTAGAGCGTTCGACCAGTCACTCTGGTCTTCCTCAGTAGACTGACTCAGTGAGGCTTGTCACGTGGCTTCTAGGTGAGAGAACGTTTTGCGTTGGACCAAAAGTTTTAACTTTAAATATGTAACTACCAACAAAGATGAACTTTCATGATAGTAATTTTGTTAGTTTTTTTATGGGAAGCTTTGAAATGTTATCTGACTGGGGACGATATCGACTTCCAACCAACTTTGCCCCATTGCTGACGTCACACGACCACGTGATCATAGCAGCTGGTTTATAAGACCGAGTGATTCGGTCGAAAAATTCGGTAATCAATTCTAATGAGTTGGAGAACAGTCTATAGCTTCTTTTAATTATTTTACCAACTCGAATGGACTTTCGTTCTAATTCAAGTGTTAATGATTGCGACCCTGTACTTTGCAGATACCGTATCGACTGAAGAGTACCGAAGGTTCTGGATCTGCTGGTCGAAAGGTGGAAGTATTGGTGTGGGCAGGGCTGGGGAGGTGGAACCCTTCATGAGCGGGACGGACCCTCAACCGATCATAAACATCAGTCAAGTCGGCTATCGGATGGAAAATTTTGCCGGAGACTACCTGTTCAACTGTACACAAGGTAAGGACTGAATAGCAAAGTGCTTTGATCACAACCATTTTTTTTACGAGCCGACGTTTTGATGAACGTCTGTCATCTTCATAAGGGTAATTCTGACTGGTTTGCTGTGCACTGACGCTAGATGTTACTGGTTTGCTGTGCACTGACGTTAGATGTTACTGGTTTGCTGTGCACTGACGCTAGATGTTACTTGGTGCACCAACTAACATCTAGCGTCAGTGCACAGCAAACCAGTCAGAATTGCCCTGATAAAGATGACAGTCATCGAAACGTCGGATCGTGAAAAATAAATGGTTGTGATCAAAGAACTTTGCTATTCATTCGTTTACCAACCTGATGAAATTATTTACGGATGTCTCTATGATAATTTTACTTGTCTGAACTAAATTATATGCTTTCTTCAGATGGCTTTTTTGGAGTGTGTGTTGACCCACCTCTCCAAGCCAACACTACCGGGCCCGTATGTGACTGCCCCTATCTGCTGGGGGAGAACTGCACCTACCCATGTTCCCCGGGATATCACGTCACTTCCGGTGACTTCATAACAAGAACGTGCACTGCAGATGGACTGTGGACGGACACGGATCTTTTCTGCCAAGGTAAAAAGATAAATAAACATCTGGTTGTACTTAACCATCCTCACATCTGCATGAAGGAAACCCCCCCCCCCCCGCTATTCAACACAACGGTTTATTTGCGGCTAGTCCTGATAAATGAAGCCTGATAAATGTAGGAGTGCTTCTGAAATATTATATCGACCACGAAAACAGCTACGGTAAAAATTAAAATGCGTACGTGCATCATCACGCAGACGGCAAATAAAATTACATGCCAATTAATAAAAAGGAACCGTGTGTTTTACCGGCGAACACGAAAAACCAACTGCCCACAATACTCCGTCCGGAGGTCATGACCCCCTTCACGGAGTAAAAAAGACAATGATTATTTTTCTATTTCTACCCACCCGTTCTTCCATTTGATAGTACAGTGTACCTTTCCTCTTATATATTTGTAGACATTGACGAATGTTCCACTATGAATGGCGGTTGTAGCCACACCTGCACCAACACTGTAGGCAGTTACAACTGTTCCTGTACTGAAGGGTTCACATTGGATGAGGACGGACATAATTGTACTAGTAAGTAATCTGTTGACTGTTGTACATAGCACTAGTAGAGGGGATTCATTCCTCAAGCTAACCGACATCTTGCACACGCAGTCGTCCTTCAGTAAGACATCTGGAGCCGCATAGTTCCCGTTTAGAACTTTTATTCAGCCTGTCACACGACCGGTTTCGCCTGTGTGGCTTCTTCAAGTGTATAGAGGCTAATGACACAAGTACATGAAGTTCTCACTGATATACCTTTCCGGTGCATAGTGCCCTTGTGTGACAGGCTGAATAAAAGCTCTAAACGGGGACTATGCGGCTCCAGATGTCTTACTGAGGGACGACTGCGTGTGCAAGATGTCGGTTAGCTTGAGGAATTGTACTATATACTATAATCTGTTGACTGTTGTTACTGTTCTCCTTCGCAATGAGAGAGATTTTATTTGAGTACACCATATCTGGACTGGAAAACCAGTATTGGACATCTCCGTAAGCTTCTTTGAATTTCACTCCGTTTCTTAAGCGTTACACAACATTTTGTGCTTTATTGAAATATTATTGTGTTCCTTATGTTCTTTGAGCTGTAGACATGTAATAATGGTTGCTTGAATTGGTCAGAGGATCTTTGACTGTCCCAAAACGCCATGATGCACTATTATGCAAATAAGGACACCAACATGGCGGCTGACAACGATGATGTCACATTCTAATTTTTTTGTGTGTGTCCATGTCTAGCCATTTGCTACAAACTGGATCACACAGACGGATCCCTAGGTTACCATGTATATAACACGGAAGCTATCTCGTCACCCTTTGTGTTTGAGGTCAAAACTGAAAACCCAAGGATTAGACTATCAGACCAACCTTCACCAATGGTGTACCTCATCGCTACGGGTGACGAGTCCAAAATAACGATGGCTGATAACCGACAGGTTTACCTTGATCACCAGGTCACACCTGGTAAGTGCCGCACACAAATGCGTCTATTTCATTCAAGCCGTACACATACAACAAGAGATAGGCGATTATAGACTTCCGAGATTGCTGTGTGTATCCGCGTAATGTATCGGAACTGTGCTGGATGATCAGAGACAGAGGGAAATACATTATGGATTACTACTCCCCATATCCCAGTGCGGACTCGACACAAACACACGCATACACAAAACCTCTATTACCGGTACCAAAAACAATACTTCCGTCCCGGAAGTAATAATGCGTCACGTTTCCAAGGTAAAACTTGGTGTGTTTTAAAATTTCCAGGTATCTTATCGTCTGAGGAGTTTCGCAGGTTCTGGATTTGTTGGTCTCTCGGTGGAAACGTTGGGATCGGTAGACATGGAGAGGTGGAACCGTTTATGAGCTGGACGGATCCTGATCCAAAGCATATCGCCTACATCCGGTACCGTTCTACCACGACTCCTGGCGAATGGAGATTGAATTGCACCACAGAAGGTAACCCAGAGTAAAACTTTCCTCTCAAAGTTTTTGAAAACGATGTCAACAAATCCTCAGGATTGTATATCCCATTGTTTCTTTGCAGTATGCAAAAACGTCCCTTTCTAGTTTGCTCGTGTTTATTTGACTAGATCCAACCTTTTAAAAACCCTGAGTTGATTTTTGGGAAGAAAACCAAATATTTATTTTATTGTTAATTTATTGACGGGGGGCGATATCGACTTCTGACGAACTTTGACCCATTGGTAACGTCACACATTCAAAATCAAATTTCAAACGACTTGATGATAGCAGTTTAGTCAGAAATCTAGAGGAAGATTGAGTCATTTGGTTGAAACTTTCGGAAATTAAAGTTTCTCCTAATGTATATTACCAACTCAGATGGACTTTCATGCTAGCATTAGCTTATAATTACTGTTAACATCCCTGTCTCCCCTAGATGAGTTCCCCGAAGGTTGTTCTGACCCACCCCTCCAACCTAACACCATTGGACCCGTCTGCAACTGCCCTTATCTGCTGGGCGAGACCTGCACCTACCCGTGTGCACCCGGATATCACGTCATTTCCGGTGAAGACATCACAAGAACATGCCTTTCAAGTGGAGAATGGACGGAGACAGATCTCGTTTGTCAAGGTATGAAAGAAATTTCTTCTTCTCAATAGATTTAAAAAAGGATAAATATGGCTAGGTAAAAGAAACAAGAATTATTGACTTAAGGTTCATTTGGCTTTTCTCTCTATTTGTTCTAATTGCGTCAGCAGCAAGATGGGTGGGAGGTGATTCTGACAAATGATTGACAGAGAGGTAAATCACGAACTTGAAGGTTGCACGGCACGTTACTGGTGGGAGTATATGGGGAGTATATGGGGGGAATTCAGGAAGTGGTACCGGGTGTAATACCCAACTAAATCACGTCATACAATGCCATCCATAGTTCCAATGGCATTATCATTGGCCAAGTATCGGGTACCTTGTATCAGGTATTCTTTAAACAGTACCAGTACAACATTGTTGTGTTTCGGTGAATTTTAGACATCCAGGTTATAAGAAACGCAAAAAAAACAATTACTCAGGGAACTGGATATGATTTGGAAACGGTCAGACGTTTCAGTTAGCATCCACTACCTTTCGTCTGTGACACTGGAGAATTGTCAGAAAAAGCAGGTTTATAAGCACGAACTATTGATTGATGGCATTATGCAAATAAGTGAAGACAAATTTTTGAAAGTCCAAAAGGAAACAAAAGTTAGTGGTACTGGATGGCACTGAAGCGTGTTTTCGTTTCCAAAATCATATCTAGTTGCCTGAGTAACTGTCTTTTGGTGAACATTCTGTTGCTTTAGAAGTTGAAGAGGTTGACGAGTGTCAGGAGAACCCAACCATCTGCGGCAGCAACGCGATCTGCGTTACCGGTCCGGGCTACTTCGACTGCGTCTGTGTGGCTGGGTTCGCCATGGCGTCAGGCGGCTGCCAAGGTCTGTTATTCTACTATCTATGCCTCGAGTTAATTTATTAATTCATAAATGGAAACTAGGTCAAGTTGCACAAATCCGTACCAGAAGAGTAGCCTCTATCATGTACCAGGCTCTTGGAGGTGGCTGGAAAGAACAGAAGTTGGCCTAATAGAGAGATAACATACCAGGGGAGTTGGGCCGCTAGAGAAAACAGGTGCAGTTTGAGGACATTTTATCTCTCTATTTGACCAATTTCTACTCTTTCCATCCGCCTCTAGAAGCCCGGTAGAGAGTTGAATTTTATCCCCATCTACAACACACTCGTCCAGATTAAAGATGGCGGATACTATCTGAAAGCTACTCCAGTTTAACTGTTTTGTCGTGTGTATTAGACATTCTATTAGCCTGGGTGCCATCCCCAGTAGTATTCGCCCGCTAGCTTACAACTGGAAACAAACCAGTGGTAGCTAGTGACATTAGGGATGGCACCCAGGCTAACATTCTATTGAGTTATAAGAATTTTTTGTGGCTACTAGAAGTAACCGCCATTGTAATCTCCAATTAAGCAGATGTTTCGTTGGCCGCAAAAGACAGTATGAAATTGGCCAGGCTAATCTACGCTTCTCTGGCCAATGAATACTGCCTTGCCACCGTATGATCTGCTTGGAGATTACCACCATTGCATTGTTTAGTTCAGTGACGTTACAAAAATCGTTTCCAGACATTGATGAATGCAGCAGTGGAGAGGCAACCTGTGACGTCAACGCCTTCTGCGTGAACACGGCTGGAACGTACCACTGTGTGTGTCTAGAGGGGTTTACAGGCGATGGAAACAATTGCCAACGTATGTACATGTTCTTCTTAGACTAGTTTCTGTCCTGACTATTACAAATACTACGTCACATCGTTTAAAGTTAAAACTTTTGGTCCAACACAAAAAAAATTCTCTCACCTAGAGCTTTCGACCAGTCACTCTGGTCTTCCTCAGTAGACTGACTCAGTGAAACACGTGGCTTCTTTGAAGTGTGAGGTCAACACGTTGTGTTGGACCAAAAGTTTTAACTCTAAACATGTAACTACCAACACAGATGGACTTTCATGATACGACCTACGACCTCCCATCTTTATGCAATTTCTCAGTTCTTATATAAAATGATACACGCCGCGAATGTGATAACTATATAAAAATTATCTGATGGTACTACTGTTATTTGCAAGGGAGTCTGCTGAATATTTTGTCATTTCTTAATCTAACTTTCTTGGTCACCTTTTCCATAGAACTTACAACAACAACATCAACAACAACAATGCAGACTACAGAGAAAACTACATCATCTACTACAGCGTCTACAACACCACGTGTACCAACCACTAGCTGGTATCCCCCTACGGACGCGCCAACTTCAACTCTGGTAACTACAACATCAACAACGACCATGAAAACCACAACGTATGAAAATGAAATTTGGGGAGGTAAGCGATGGAATCAAATCGTTTTACTGCATGTTCAAGAAATTCAGTTAATTCGGAAAATGTCTTTGTCAATGGGTCTAAAAATGGGAAAAGGTTCTAAAATATATCAAAATCAGTGCATATTTAGGTATTGGTATTAGGACTATTTTTAAGTTATAACCTCTTTCCGCCTAATTCCTTTTTTGGGAACAGAACTTGACACAACTGAAGAAGTCTCCACCGTCCGCGTGTCGACAATGACCACTATCCCACTTCTGACACCATGTACGGCTAAGTCAACTCTCCCACCTCGTGTTTTTACAACCACACAAGATTCTTCAACACAGACGTCCTTTTTAAAGGAGGTGATTATTAAGATACAACTGGCATTTTACTTTTTATGTTTACCGAAGGAAAACATATTGTTTTTGCTCGGTTTCTTCCTCTTCTTCTTCTTCAGTGACCTCTGGCCTGACCAATGACATGATTTGTTGACGTCTGTCACCATGGTGACTGGTGTTGGGTTACATAATGTTGCAATTTTTCATGGTCTGCTCTGCTCCTGTCACCATATACTAGTAGTAAATGTTTGTGAATGTGTTTGAGTAAGAATTAACAGAGCAGACCATTTCCGACGGTAAACATTATGCATTTGCTTTGCAAATGTTCTGTTTTTAGTTAATAAGATACAACCGGCATCTTACTTTACTTTATACTTTGTTTGGCAAGACTTTTATTCCTTTCGTTAACTTTTTCCAACCCGTGTCAAAATATCTTTAACTGCAGGAGGAGATACCTAACCTTATCAGCACTCTTGGTGATAAAGTCACCAACTTCAGAGGTTCACTGGATGATTACAAAGAGCTTCTGGAAGAGGTCACAGATGGGACGTCGTCGGCGCTACGGGCTCAGAGCGGCAGTAGGGAGTCTGTTGCTATGGAGACGACCTTTGACCTTTCTTTAGGCGTAACTGACGAGGTGAAAGACCTCATAGACGTTGACTCTTCCGACATGTCACCAGTGGAACAATTGGAGAAAAAGAAAAATGAACAAGAACTTCTAAAGTCCCGGGTAGGTTTCTATTTCTTTTAGCCTATTGCTGAAAGGGTTTGGGTCAATGTCGAGCTTTTGTTATGGTGAATGATGACTCTATGGTTTATGCATATAATATTGTTAGCCAGTGTCCTCACTATGAGACCGAAAGAAACAGATTATTTCATACAGTTACAATAATTTCTCCATCCTTTCGTCATTTAGAATATCACAAAAAAACTGCATTTCTACTAAGATCACAAAACCCACTAATTATGCAGAATGTGGGACTATTCATTATCCTCTGCCTTCAAAGAAGAAGTCGAACCCCATAATAGCTAGCGTAGTGGTAGAAGAAGAAGTTTTTTCCAGACAGTTGTTACCTGTCTCCTGTTACTGTATTGCAATGTGTTTTATTCTTGATTGTAAAAGCAATTAGCCTTCGGGCATGATTTTGCGAATAAAGTTTGTATAATACAGTTATCTATCATATACAGTGTTTGAAAAGGCCTTGAATTTTAAGCATCTCTACAAGTCATATAAAGGAACAAGACTGTCACACAACCTCTCCTTTGAATGCTTGTAGTCACAAAGATTGTACTAAAATTTCAAGTGTTGGAATGTCGATAATCGGCCATATCGTGCTGCAAGACCACCATGTGGATAACCAGGGCACATAAACTGCTGTGAACCTTGACCTTTGCCAGGTCAAAGGTCTTTGAGTGACTTTTGTTTGCATTCACTACAGGTGAAGGATGAAACCATGGGTTTGCTGGACCTATTGGACGCGGCAGCAGGCAAACTGTTGCAGGAGGTACCACCGGAAGGAGGAAGCACTCGTGTCCGGTCTGACGGCGTGCTCACTGCTGTGATGAAGACCCTCCCTGATGTAGGTGTCATTCCTATTGATCAGGATGTCGGCTCCATCGTGTTCACACAGGAAGACAGCCTTCCAAGGAATTCCAGCATTAAGGTACTGTAATTCCTGATTTTTTTCACTGTACTTTTATGTTTTTACTATCACTTCTGTGAAGTTATCATTATAGTTAACAAATAGTTCCTGGACTTTCTCTTTCCTGCACCTGTCTCCACCGTAAATATATAGTTGCATGAACATGTCCACTTTTCTCAGACCTTGAAATTTTGCTGCCATGACATAAAGTGAATTACAGTGTTTCATAATTTTCAAGCAGATCCTACAGTGGCAAGGCGGTATCAAATTGGCCAGTTTGTCTATTAGTCAGACTAATAGCCTGACTAATAGACACTCCTCTGGCCAATTGGATACTGTCTAGTTGCCACCGTAGCATGTGATTGGAGGTATTTCGGTGGCTTTTTGTGTTGTGAATATTTCTTTAGCACTTCAGTGTCGGTAGTCGGTGGTCTTCTATTTCCAACGCCAAGGCCCGATCGAGCAGCTGAGCTTGCACGAACAACAAGACTGGCAATGAAAACATACATTGCCCTGGCGACGGTGGTTGCTGTTAGGGTTATTGTTTGCATGCCACTGCCATCATTTCATGATTTTGAGGAAGACTTGATACAGTGCAATCCTCCCTGAGTGTACAATAGTGAACGAGCCCCGGGGTAACAGAAAGTAGGGCCATCCGGGGCAGAGAGGTCTTTCCAAGGGTTTCCAGGAATGTGGGCATTGATGTGGGTCAGACACATGCGCCTGTGAACATTCCATGCCTGTTGACAAAAATGCCTGTACCATTCCTAGAATTCTTGCAAACTGCACACAATACTGTACCATTAGGCTCCTCGCTGACGGACGTCGCCAAAAATGTTACAAGAATTAGTCATGAGAACTATTTGTGTACTAACCGTGCACCTTGTCGCTCTTGCAGGTTGTGGCATTTGAAAAGGATCCTTTCGTGTGGAATGAAGAAGAAGAAACTGAAGTATCCTCGTCTGTTGTCATGGTAACAGTCACCAAAGGCTCCGAAGAAGATGGAGAACAAACTCGCAATGCTGCAGCACCAAACATCACCGTTGACCTACGATCTGGTGTGATGTTTGACACCACTAAGGAACACGAACAGGATACCCTATCGAACACTTACAGTGAGGAGGTTGATGATGCCCGTAGATCATTCCCTCTCTCCAAGGTTCCCAGGCATGGCACCAACATGACGTATCACGCCATGTACATAACCAGTGAAGGACAGGCGCCCCTGCTCCGGTTCTCAGTCGATGACGTCGACACAGAGCTACAGGTATAATAAGTTTGTAATGTTACCATTCATTTTATCAAGAAGGTTCATCTGTGTTGGTAGTTACATGTTTAAAGTTTTAGGTGAGAGAACTTTTTGTGTTGGGCCAAACTTTTTAACTTTAAACATACCATTTATTTTTTTGTGGTAAATTATTGATATTTTTCATATGTTGTTTACTACCCTTTATTATTGTTGTTGTTGTAATTATTATTATTATTATTCATTATGTTCTTAATTGTAATGGAGGGGGACACGGATAAGCCTTAAGGCTTTTATCCAGCCTCCAGTACATTCATTCTGTATACTTTCTGTATCATTTTATATGTGCAAATAAAAATAAGCAAACAAATAAACATAAACAGGTCTACGCCCGGTTTCACGACTTCCCAACTGAGGAAGAGTACGACTACACCACAACTGTAAAGCCTCCAGAGGTGACTGATTATGAAGGCTTTGAAATGCCGTACGGCCTGGTCTACTCCAACTTCAATGTAACATTCGCACCGGAGGTAGGAAAGAAACACGGCTGGGTCATAGTCGGCGTAAAGAAGAAAGGTAAACAAAATATTCTCTTTTTTCTTCTCTTTCATTTTGAGGCAGCTGCTTTCAACTAGCTGAAGATTCTGTAGCCTTTTTGTGGCTAATACGAGATGGGGTTTGCCAGGCCTCCATCCAGGAAAGTTGTGTAAAGTGTCTTTCCCAAGGGCAGAAGATCGGTGGCATGGCAGGGTTCAAACCCAGGACCTCTTGGTTCCCAGCCGTTACGCCACACGACCCCACAAAATTTAAATAATTGAAAATATTGAAATAATAGAAGAAATTATTATTCCCAAATTTTTTTGGTCGTTCTTTCATCATCTTTTTTTTTCAATTCGGATGTCATGTTTTAGCTTTTGTGAGTCAGTGGTCATCATATGTTTATATTGTAAAATATTAAATGAGATATTGATATTTTCCTTGTATGGTTATGACATCAGCTAAAGACGTACCTGAGAGTGGGTTCCGGCCGCTGCTGACGTCATCCTCCCAGGCCACGCCCCCTTTAGGTCGTCATGGCAACCGGACAGGGTTCTCCCTGGAGACCGCTGCAGTCTCCTGTCTGATGTGGGGAATGGACGACCAGACGTGGAGCAACCAACGCTGCAAGGTAACAAATACTAACTTACTGATCTCTAACTGATCTCTAGAACTGACTATACAGGCCCCACGCCTTTCCTTATGGTTAAAGTGCTGTATCTTTTACACATGTAAGTCAGTATTGACAAGTGTTTAAATCAGATAACCTTTCACGTTTAGGAAAAAAAACTCTTCTGGATTTCCCCCCAGGTGACTTACGAAGAAATGCTTCTAGAGGTCTGTAAAGTATCAGTTACTTCTTGATACGGAGGTATTGTTTTGGGTTTCTGAGCAGATGGGTCTGTGTGCCCGTTTGTCCAGAGTAGGTTGACAGCTAGCATATGGTTGATATGGTAGGGTGGAATATTGAAAGGTAGAATGACAGGAGGTCAGAACGAAACAGCAGAAGGATATGGCCTGGAGTTAGCTGTGGCCATGGAGGAATTCAGGGAGCTGCTGATTGCACGATGCCTACCTTCTGTCTACTCTCCTACTTACTGTCAGTAAGTCTGAAATCTCAGATTCGTAGTCATATATATATATATAAGGGGAGGATTGATACCATCAATGTTTCCTTTGCAGGTTGGGACCCAAACAGACGAGACGACCACGCGGTGCACCTGCGGCATGGCCTTAAACAATGATGGGAGCAGTTCCAGGGCGATACTAGGATCATCGTTTCTGCCTGTTCCGAATTTCGTGGACTTCAGCAATCTGGGCAGCAACTTTAACAAGTTGTCCTCAAACTCCACCGTGTTTGGAACTGTCGTAGCAATGTGGATGATGTTCATAGTGGCCCAACTGTTTATACTTCGTTCAAATATCAAGGTATGTTAACACTAATCTTACCTTGCCATATTCTAAGCCTTTGCACTGCGAAAGCTTGTGATATGCCTTATGTAGTACCTGTTCTTCTCTCGTTCCATTTGCTGCAAAAATATAAATTAAGCCATCTCTTTGTCCGTTGTTGATCTATAAAACTCCATAAAGATTCTGTTTATCATGAAAGTTCATCTGTGTAGGTAGTTACATGTTTAGAGTTAAAACTTTAGATCCAATACAAAAGAGTTCTCTCTCAGTCACTCTGGTCTTTCTCAGTAGACTGACCCAGTGAGGCTTGTGACGTGGCTTTTTTGAAGTGTGACGTCAACACTGGGTCAAAGGTATCTGGTAGACGATACCTTCATTGAACCGCGACGGGGGCCGACATCGTCTACCAGATACCTTTAAGTGAGAGAATTTTTTGTGTTGGATGTAAGGTTTTAACTCTAAACAAAGATTTTGTTTATTGTTATCAGAGTCAGCTGTCAAGAAACAGGGCAGTCGCAGGCAACTTCGCTCTTGGAGAAGCTGCAGCATCGACCATCTTCAACGCGGTCGTTCCCAAAGTGTCCACCATCCCGTCCGAAGTTCCCGGTGCGGACTACGTGTACGTGGTGTGTGTCCGTACGGGAACACAGCCTGATGCCGGCACGGCGTCTGTGGTCGGGCTCATGATCACAGGGTCAGACGGCAGGACACCCATGGTCACTCTCAACCCTGATGGCACGGTATGAAGTCTTTTTATGGATAAACGTATATTTTATGTCTGCAATTAAACTATAACAAGAAATTAGAGATTTCAGACGTCGTCTTCCTGAATTCCCCCCTGTTGACCATAATTTCTGCAGTTTGGTCACTCTCCCATGGTCACTCTCAACCCTGACGGCACGGTTTGAAGTCTTGTAACAGCTTTCCATGAATAAATGTGTATTTTATGTCTGTCATAAAACTATGACAACAAGAGATTGAAGTTTTCAGAGTTCGTCTTCCTGAATTACCCCATGTTAACCACAAATTTCTGCAGTTTCCCAATCAGATTATGAGATCTTCACGTTCACCCCATTTCCTGATTCGGACCTTTTGCACTCCTTTCATCCTGCCTGTCAATCCCCCTCCTTCTCCCCTGTTGACCTACTCGGTTCAGACACGAAACACACCTGACTACTCGAAACAATACTTCCGAACCCAGACCGGAAGTAATGACAAGCTACACGTTTGTCTATCTAGATTTGCAAGAAACCAAAGTACGAATCAATCCAACTTTGAACACTGTTACATTATGACCTATATCATAAACATTCGAAGCAAAAGATATAATGAAGACATAACGAATACACACTTTTCGTGAATTGTTCTTAGGTCCTGGCCAGAGGTGGTGACACGTACCACATCATGTCGACTCCCTCCTCCATCGGCCAGCTCCAGTCTGTACAGATCTGGCACGACGGCTCCGGGAAGGGCAACATGGAGTCACTCTTCATAGACAACATCAAGGTCTGGGACATACAGACATCAGAGAGGTGAATATGATTATAATAATATGTTACAATTCTGGACGTACAAACATCACTCATATAGTATGAGAAACTTCAAACTGTTCACCAACTAAAAAAATTGCGGAAATTTTTTACCAAATCACTCGGTCTTCCTCAGCTTTTGAACCCAAATGCTTTGATCGCGAGATTTTTTCCCTGTGACGTCACAAATAGGTCAAAGTTGATCGAAAGTCTATATCAACCCCCGTCTCACAATTTCTTTTACGAACAAGGATGAAATTCCATGCTAATAAACGCTCGTACAAGTATAAGAGTGGTCATTACAATCTTGAACTTATTATGATGACCAGCACATCCTCATTTGAGATTTTGAAGATTGATCATTGACGATTCAATCAATATGCATACGAAGATCTAATGTCTGATTTTCCTTCTTCAGGTTCCTTTTCCCGTGTTTCACCTGGCTGTCCTCTCACAAAGGTGACTGCAGGACAATAAGGACTTTGAAGGTGGTACCTGACGGAGGGACACAGTAAGTACGGCTGCTTCTTATGTTGCGGTCACTTTGTATGCGTCTTGGGAAAATTTAAGTGGTATTTTGAAAGCAAGTGACTACACATTGTGCAAAGCTATAAATTGTAGAAAGGTAACGTTTGCAAAGCAAATACATAATGTTTACCTTGAAGTTCGCATATGGTCTGTTCTGTTCACATTCATATATTATATGGTGACAGGAGTTTAAATCCTTCCTGCTATAAAATTGCAACATGATGTAAACCAACACCAGTTAACATGGTCACAGACGTCTAGTTCAAGTCATTGACCTTAAGTGTTTGGAACGGAAGAGGAAACAGAGCAAAAACCATATGTTTTCCTTCGGTAAACATAAAAACCCTTTTCGATGACTAATTGACATAGTAACTTTGTCTTAAAACCGTTAGGAAAGCCCTCCTACCGACGTTTTCATACCAACTGTATGATGAGCATCTCCTCCTGTCGGCTGTTTGTAACTCCGGTGTGAGACACTTCACCCGGGCGCAGCGCCTGGCCTGCTGCCTGACTCTGGTCACCCTGTGGATGGTGGGCAGCGCCATGTGGTACGGGACCACAACAGGTCCAGATATCGTACTGTTAGACACCGGTATCCTCATACTCCGCCTTTCGGACTTGTTCAGTACTGCAGCAACATCGTTCACGGTGTCTCTACCAGTATACGTCATCCTTGTGCCGTTGTTTTGTCAGCAGCTGCCGTTGGAAGATCAGATCCCTTCAGAGCTCTTGAAAACCCCTACATCACCCTCCGCCAGGCGGTTCCCCTACAAAACAGTCGCGTGGGTCGTCGCCATTTTGACATCTGTCTGTAGCAGCTTTTTTGTGATCGTGTACAGTCTACAGTTTGGAGCTGAGGGGAGCCAGGCCTGGCTGAAGGACTTCGTCCTGACATTCCTGATCTCGACATTTGTACTTGAACCTATAGAGGTACGTTTCAATAGTTTTATCATATTCTTAAACGCCAGTATGACGTACCGACATTATTTCAACAGTGACGGGGGGCGATATGGACTTCCGTTCAACTTTGACCCATTGCTGACGTCACAATTAGAACAAAACCACTTGATTATAGCAGTCAGGTCAGAAAGCTGAGGAAGACCGAGCGATCTGGTCAAAAATTTTGTTAATTCTTTTGAGTTGAAGAACAGTTTAATTTTCTCACAATGAAACGTCAGTATTCGAATCCAAAAACCATATGAGACACAGGAAATTTTTCTACAAAGTATCATTCAGACCAAGTTTGATGAAGAAAGACCACCAATGTTATCGTTGAATAGCTAGATGAAATGTAACCTTTTGATTGATTATATACTAAGGTTAAGTCTCCATATTTTGCAGATCTTTCTGTTGAACTATGCCCTGGCAATCTTCGTCGGACCAATGCTGGTGCCTGTGGCATCTTATTTTCGTAAAGTTTTAGGAATGAAGGAAGAGAAGAAGGACCATGTTCTCATCGAAGTCGCTCACAAAAACAAGGCTGATTATGAAGGTAGGTCTCCTCATCATACACACCAGCTTCTGTATCTGTATAGCCGGTATAACCGCCCTTCGGGGTAACACACCAACTTCGGTATCTATAGCCGGTATAACCGCCCTTCGGCGTAACACACCAGCTTCGCAGGCCCGCAGCGCGGCGGCAGCTGGCTACATCACACCGCATCGTTTAAAGCTAATGACAATGCCTCTACTGTACTTGGTGACAGAACTCTGAGATAGTTCTAGGAAAGAATGCATTCTTGAACACCTCAATCCTTGGTTGATAACTCTGGTACTTGAAGGCATGGCTATTTCTTGTTCTCTTCTGGGTTGGTATTAGGTACTTAGTGCTACGTGTATTTCCTCAAGAAACTGCTAGGAGACAGAGAAGTCAGGTGACATGTACCCAAGTAAAATATTTTGTTCTTTTTAACGTAACTGTTGAGAATGTATCCACATTGGTTAAAGAGATTTATATTTATTTTTCATTGATAATTTTATCATCTACATTCCATTGCAACTTTCATTGTAGATTTTTGCTCATTTAGATGATTTTACCAGTCTATTAGCTGAGAAAACAAGGTCATGGACTTCATTTCTGCTTTAAAATTGCCATTTTATATGAATGTAAAATGATTTTCCACTAATTTTCTTTCTGTGTTGTTATTAGTCCCTGCACCTAGGGTTTTGCCACCTGCGCCGAAGAAAGCCGACCATGACCCGAACTGGACCGAGAGGCTGACTCAGGGTAGGGACATCCTGGTTCACATCGTCGTCCTACTGCTCTTCAGTGTGACGTACTTTTACATCGGCGTACTGGACACGGACACGAACGCTGGCTACGTCAGGACCTCACTGAAGAACAGTCTTCTGACGGGATGTGAGGAGGTGAGGTTTTTTTTTTTTTTATTCCTAGACATTTCATGACAAGACATGATGACGGCACACTCAAGTTATTTCAACTTATGCCGAAATTTTATGACGTCACCAACGCAGATGAGAAATGCAGGACAGGACAATACTCATTTTCACTTGAGGTGAGGAAAGCCGTGTTAAGTGCTTCTCCCAAGGTCACAAGATCGGTGCCATGTCAGGACTCGAACCCGGGACCTCTTGGTTCCGAGTCGAGCACTCTGCCGTTAGGCCACACGAACCCACAAAGTAAGGTTTGTCCGTCTCAAGTCGAAACAGGTCGAATTCCATCTCTTAGTGCTGTCATTTTCCCCAAAGCTACGAACGATGTTTGTCCGTCCCATGGTTAGCTCTGTGACGGGGGACCGTATTGACTTCCATTGAACTTTGACCCATTGCATGTAGACTAAACAAAACATGGGTGGGTTCAGAAAGCAGAGGAAGACCGTGTGATTCACTCAAAAAATTCCGTCATCTTTTGAGTTTATATGGCGGTTTAAAGTTTCTCATGCATATATTGTATTTCACGTGCAGGTGACTACAGTGGACGGTGCCTGGGAGTGGCTGTCGTCTGACCTGATGCCGTCCCTCCACCCTGAGCGCGGGTACAGCGGGAAGACCCTCAGGTGGCTGGACAAACAGTTTCCGGCTGGAACCGACGCGTTCCGGATCGGACCGGTTCGCCTGGAGAGAACCACCAAGTACCCAGGTGACAAAACATCGTAAACTTCAAATCTATTGTGTTAAAAGTATTAAATATTATTTTTTCTATGTAAAATCCGAATGATTTCTTTCCTGTCAACTCGCATTACTAATTCAATTACGTTTTCATGCTGAAACTGCAATCAATTTTTATTTCTTTGCAGCACAGTTGTGCTTTTAGAGCATAAGCTTGGGAACTGTCTTGCCAAAACTAGCTTTGACACTAACTGTTTACCGTGGTCCTTTTTGGTGTCTGTCTATCTTCTTTGTAGAAGATCCAATAGACTCAGACTTGGAGCTCAGAGACGAAAAGCTGTATCCTGAACTGACGGCCAAGCAAAGAGAAGACGCCTTAGAACGACTGAGTTCATCAAAGTGTTCACAAGTCAGGAACACAAGCACTGCAGATGATTTGAGGTATGTGATCACATGTGTTGATCAGTAGATGGATACTTGTGTTATGCGTATATGTCTTTATAACCAATGTTCTGTCTCTTTCTTCAGAAAACAATGATTTCTACTAGCATAAGCAGTTCTCTTTAGATGTATTCAGACTCCCCTTTTCTGTTTTTGGCGACGTCTCAGGGAGGAGCCTAATGTACAGTATTGTGTGCAGTTTGCAAGAATTCTGGGAATTGTACAGGCATTTTGTCTACAGGCATGGAATGTGCACAGGAGTGTCTCCCAGCTCTGCTGACATGCCCACATTCCTGGAAACCCTTGGGAGAACCTGTCTGCCGGATGCCCTACATGTACTTTCTGTGACCCTGTGGCTCGTGCGCTATACACTTAGGGGAGGCTTCCTCAAAATCCTGAAATCGTGGCAGTGCCATGCAAACAATAACCCTAACAGCAACCACCGTCGCCATGGCAGTCTTGTTGGTTTTAAGGTATAGTTGCTGTCACGGTACTTTTTTTTTCTTTTTCTTTCAGAAATGGGACCATAGATGGAACGGTAGAGTGCACTACCGTAGTAGACCTGCCAGGGGGCGCTAGCCAGGCCGCTGCAGTGATAGACTCCCTAAAACAGACCCACTGGATCCTGATGGTTTCAGACACGCTCACCATCCGGATCAACTTCTACCACCCTGACGTGAAGCTGTTCAGCACCGTGGCCATCGCCCTGCAGTACCTCCCAGGGGGCGCTGCTGCACTGCAGCCCACCATCCAGACCTTCCGGCTGTTCCAGTATAACAAGACAAGGGACTTTACCCACTTGCTTGCACACCTGTTATTCCTGGTTTTCTACGTTTACAATGTTCTTCACGAGATTCGGAGCGTACGGAAGAGCAGGCGTGTGTATTTTGAGAGTTTCTGGAACGTCTTGATCCTATGCAGCATAGGGTTGTCCACTGCTGTCATTGTGCTGTTCGCACTGCGTTACATTTCGGCAGCTGCTGCATTGAGAGATCTACAGCAGGCAACAGGTAAGATGATATGGTATTCAAACAGTCATACAACAGTATTGTAAATAACTGACACATCTCCTGAATGGAATACTCTCCTCAAGAAAAACATGCGATAGATTAGCTTTCAAATTTGGTAGAATTGAAATTTAGTAAAGTTAGCAGGGCTCGAAATACTGTGTGCATGTGCACCTCAGTGCACCCAAATTTGGAGCTGTTTACCAATTTTTTTCTGTGGGTGCACCAGTGCACCCAAATATTTTTTTTTTTTTGCATCTCTGTTCTTTATTGAGTATCGAATACATATGTACATAGATAATAAATTGTTACATCAGATTCATCAATTTCTGTCTGTTTGTACAATCTTTAACTTAACTATCCTGACAAATTGTCTAATACCTTTATATATATTTCAGAATGGTATACAACTAACAAGGCTGATACAGAAAATATGCACATACCTTTTTCTCACAAATTCACAGACTTAATATTTTGTATGTTTATGAAGATGTTAAGTCTAGTATACGTCATATTCTTAACATCTAAGTGTCAGAAAAATAATAAAACTATTCTTGTACTACTTTTCTTTAAAAATGAAATGTAGTAGTAGTGTTGGTTTCTGCATTCTACTTAATTTTATTTTATATGGTGCACCCCAAAAAAATTTTGTGCACCCAATAGTTTAGGTTAGGTGCACCAGTGCACCTATTCCCACAAATGAATTTCGAGCCCTGGTTAGTATGGACTAACTCTGTTAGAATTGTATTTTAGTATGATTCATGTATATACCCTTATTGTTTCTCCTTTGCCAATTGTACCAGTTACTGATTTTGAGCAATTAAGCTGATTTTATTTGTTTGTGGCCACAGGACTCCATGGCACGAACACATTTGTGGACATCAGCGCCCCCTGTCGGTTGGACGGGAACTTCAAGGCTGTCCTGTCACTCTCCATCTTCCTCAGTACCTTCAGCATCCTGCGGGTTCTCAACTTCTCCAGGAACGTCGCGACCGTCTTCGCTCTGCCTCGCGTAAGTATCTGCATCTGTATAGCCGGTATAACCGCCCTTCGGCGTAACACACCAGCTTCTGTATCTGTATAGCCGGTATAACCGCCCTTCGGCGTAACACACCAGCTTTGCAGGCACGCGGTGCGGTGGCAGCTGGCTACATTACACCGATCGACTTGTTACACCTAACCCTTGAACATCTAACTCTAGACATTGTTTAAAGCTATCTAAAGACAATGCCACTACTGTACTTGGTGACAGCGAGTTCCACTCTGCGATAGTTCTAGGAAAGAATGAATTCTTGAACACCTCAATCCTTGGTTGATAACTCTGGTACTTGAAGGCATGCCTCTTTCGTAGAAATAGAACACACACTTGCACACAGCTGGTTTTGTTTTTTTCTTTTAATGCGGACGATCATGATAATGATCATTCTGGCATACTCATAAACACCTGAGCGAAGTGAGGAAAGTTCCTTTCAAAGGGGCTCAAGGTTGGTGACATGGCAGGATTCGAACCTGCGACCTCTTGGTTCTGTCCCCTGTATAATGGTACGGTCCAAAAAAAGTGGTCGGTTATTCTAATTACCGACCACTTTTGAGGTTACGGCCTGATAACCAATGGGAAATGGAGCCTTCTGATTGGTCGACGTCTTCTTGCTATATGATGATATGTTTTGTAGTACTACTAACATGCATCAGTACTGTAACATCGGCAAGGTGTTGCTGCCATTATGTTCTAGATTCGCTAGTGGGCGCTTTTGAACAGTCAAGAATTCGTTACCAGTAACATGATTGTATACCAATTGTCAGAATTTCTTTCTGTCCCACTTGGCCCAGTTGATGTACAGAGAAGCCTTCGGATTTCTGTCGTACATGGTGGTGTTACTCCTCTCCTTCACCATGTGTGGTGTCCTGATCTTCGGCAAAGAGATGAAGAGTTTCTCAACCTTTAAGGAGACGTGGTACATCTTGTTTGAGATGAGCCTGGGGAGGGCTTTCGGAGATGTCTTTGGGGACGACATGAAGAGAATAAACAGTGTCCTGGGACCTCTGTACTACGCAACGTTCATCCTAATCTTCGGATCCTATCTGGTAAGACGACATTTGTTCCCTTCTTTCTTTATATGTTATGAAGTCTTGAGTTTGATACCCATTCAAGTCATACCAACCCTTGCAAAAGTGGTGCTCAGTGCTGGGTTGGGGTGCCGACTGCCACCATTATTTCATTATACTCATGGCTGTCTAAGTTTTCCCTGTCTATACTGTAGCAAACACCACTTTCACAATGGAAAGTTTAAAAATGGTGCCTACTGTAGTATTGTCACAGCTGCATAACTATTTCAAGTGACTATTTCAACCGCCAATGACAAATACCATGCCAAAGAGTCAATGCCATGAAAACCAGGCAAAAATTCATCATTTTGCCTAGTTCCTAATGGTAAGAAGATTAGGATTATTTATATTATAATGATCCTTAATTTCAGCGTTATTCCCATACCTAACTAGCCTGGGTACCATCCTCGTTAGTTTACGTCCGCTCCCACAGTCTTGGTCAGGAGGGACTGGGATCGGACGTAAACTAACCAGGGTGGTACCCAGGCTAATACCCGAACATGTTTCTGTCTGTTTCAGGTGAATCTAGGAGTGGGAATGCTGTGTAACTGGCTGAGTTACTGTCAGAAGTCTGACGACATTGATGTGGACACCGCCATGGGAGATTACTTCTGGAACTCCTTCAGGAGTCTTCTGGGCTTGCGCCACGAGACCAAAACCTTTGACGGTAAAATCCGATTGCTGTTTATTGTTTGTCAGTTGATATTAGGTTCTGAGAGATTCCCCTTATTTCCCAAAAGTTATTTGTTACAAAAGCGAAACTAGCACCTGGTATCCAGTCTATTGTGGTTGGGTTAGGCTGTCTTTGGGGCTCCAATAGTTTTCCCTAGCCTCTACAAGGCTTCGGAAGGCGTCTAGAAAGAGTAGAGATGAGTCAAATAGAGCCTCATATAACATGACGAGGGAGTTGATCCGCTATAGCGAGTACTGTTCTCTCCAGCAGACCAACTCCCTGGTGTGCTATCTCTCTATTTGGCCGATTTCTATTGTTTCCAGCCGCTTTCCAAAGCCTGGTAGAGGTAGAGTTTTTCCCGATCCAGTTCAACAGACCGCCCGGTAGATAACTCCAGTCGTGCAAAACATATAGCTACCAGGGAACCAACATGAGTCGGGCGGGGAAGAGCTTTAGCAGCCCCGAAGAGAACCCACTCCAACCGCGATAGCCTGGATACCAAACTTAAGAGTAAATGCAGAATATAAACTCTAATGTCATTTCTGAATTCATGAAGATGATGACCCACTTCCGGACTACTACATGGACGAGGCCCTCAAGCGGACTGATGCAGTACTGCAGGAGGTGGAAAGGGTCACTGACCTGATGTACAACTTTGAGTGTCGGGGATTTCCAGAACTGAAGGTCAAGGACAAGACGCACAGAAGTGGTTTAAAAATCTAGGAGAGAATTAGAGAAAGAACTTAATCATGTCCTTGATGTGATTTATTAATAGACCTTTTTACTGAGATTACATGTAAATGGCATTATGAATTTGTGAAATTTGTGAAAATGATAAATCTAATGATAGATACAAAGACAAATGGTATTGTTTTGCTATGTAAACACATGATGTAAATATTACAGATTTGGATTTAATGTGTGGAATGTATGTAGTTTACATTAGACGATTTTATACAAAAAGTAGCTATTTTTTCCTAGTTTCATTGTTTTTTCTATGTTCGTGTGATGTTTGTATTAGTTTTCAGAACCTAACTAAAAGTGCTAGTCTTCACTAAACCATGGCATTATAAAGTGAGACAATAGCAGCTCACTGTTGATGCACAAGTTATAACAACTAAATTTAAACTGTAAAACTGTTTTCTAGATAGTTTGCATGTCTTTGTATCTTTGTAAGTTTTGAAAATTGTGACAATGCATTTTTTTTATATTTTTACTTATGGCAGAACTACATGTACATATGTACAATTTACTTTATATAGCTTGTATGAAAGTTTGTATGAAACTTTCGCCTCGCTTGAAGTACAATAAAAGCCATCCCGCTTGTTATATTGTGTTTGTCACTTTGATTATTATCATAGAAACAATTATGCGTACCTTCACAGATTGTTTTTGCTCAGTTTCTTTCTCTTCTTCATCTTCTCAAAGCAAACAATGCCAATGACCTGGACCAGATGTCTGTCACCATGGTAACTGGTGCTGTTGCAGACACCCTGTGGTGTTGGGTTACATTTTGTAGCAGGGCGGGGTCGGGCAATGTCCTTGGTGCTGAAATAGGGGTTCTTAATTAGTAGTTAGGCTAAGACCGTGTGAAGATAAACATTATGCATTTGCTTTGCAAATGCTGACTTTCTAGTTTCATTGTAAACTTTGCTTTACTGTGGTCTGCCTCTAGACACTAATGTTCTAGATGATTATTAAGATTAACACCAAGCAAACAAAGGTGACCAAGTTGATATATGTAGCATGTAAAATTCTTTAAGTTATACCTAAGTCATTTCCAACTCATCAGCATCACTGTACATCTGGAACATATCTGTTGAGGTACCTACAGTTGTATAAAGTGTAAAATTGGTAATTTTGGCATTTATAAAGGTAGCTGTCCCTCCTTAAAAATCTATAATATTGAATGATTAGCAAAGCAACTAAAGTTGTGAAAGTTTTAGCTATTCAAAGAAGGAATGTTTTAAGTTAAATAACATTGGAAAGAAATTATTTTGGTGCATGATAAGCAGGTTTGACTGGGTTACAGTGGTGCTTCTCTATTGGCCCGTTGTTAATCTAATTTGACTTAATTACCGCAAATTCAAATTTTGCTTACAAGGTGGCACCTGTGCGTGAAACAGGCCGTTCCAAGATGGCGAGTAGCCGCGGCGACTCTTGACTCGGGCTTACATGCTGA